AGTACATAGCCATGCCAACTTCACAATACTTTCCTTGTTCCCTCTTTCATTTCGTCCAGGCAGTATTTACTCAGAATATTATGTATATAAAAGACATAATAACGTACTGTCTAAGCATAAAGTTGCAGATGTGCAGTCAAACTGTACTTCAGTGCTTTGATTTATTTACATTGTAGTCGAGTCTTATATGGTACAGGAAAACATGAGATGCCCAGTACAACTCTATAACGTATAAAAAATGTATAATGTCTCCTGTCCTCTAGGCTTACATTGTTCGAATTTGAGCTGGCGTTGTATTTTTGTTTATTTATCAAGTGCTGTGCCAAAATGAATTTATCGTGTGTGTCCATTAATGTTAAAGCAAAGTGCCCTGCCAGTATTTTATGTCTTTGTTTTGTTTATAGTCCAACTAATTGCACTTCGCGTTGAAATATTGTGCTAATTTGTGTATGGGCAATATCTCCCCTCTGACTCAGGACAAAAGTATCTCAGAATCAGGCTTTTGCACGTCAAAATATTTTGACTGCTTTGTTTATAAACCAATACATGTGTTTAGAAGTTAATGTTTTCATGCTAATGTTGGCTTTATATCTTTACGATATTTGGCCTCTTGAGTTTCAATCCCGTTTAAAGGAAACAGCTTTTGAAAAGTTTTACAGTAGTACATATTAAAATTTTTGCAGTTTTTGCTTCATAAGAGGCGCTTTTTTGTGTTCCTAAAAACTGTTTGTATCGTGTGATTGTAGATAGTGAGGTGGAACTAAGCATTTCAATGCGCTAAGCTATCCAGTAGCACTTCGCATATCACGTAAATCCTTCCTAACAGAGAGAGTGTAAATGTCGAGCGTTAAGTTTCTTAAATTAATTCTATGTGCATGATTTAATTCATGTTAAAACTGGTGAATTACATAGCTACAACCGACATCTGTTTATAAGAGATTGTTAATATATACAGAGATAATTATCATAGTTCGATTGTGATGATGATAATCTGTATTACTGTTACGTTCACCTCGCTGTAAGTAAAGTTCATGTGCTAGTGCCATGTGAGGAAGCGCGGCTGTGACTCTTGGATTAGATTCAACAATGATTCGATTTAACGATCAATAAGCTGAAATACAAACGTATAAACCTTAAAAAGAAAAACAAATAAGAATGAAAGTTTGTTTTACACTTTTTCAGAGGGCTTAAATCTAGAATTTCTGCAGTAAAGGGTATATGTCATTCCGGCAATAGCAAAAATACTTCCTTTGAATCGGTATAGTACCTTACAATGTATATGAATTAGAGTTTTTTATTTATAATATATAGTAATATGAATTTAGCTCACCGAACAATGATAGTTGGTGTAAAATAATACATATGATAAAAATAGGTTAGACACACGTGTTTTGTGATCTTTTAGTATACGTTCAATTTGTTGCAATTGGAAGTTGGCAAGTTACTGAAATGGTCGAACTGTGTGATAGTTGAAAACAAAAACAAGTCCCTCATTTAATATAGAAAACTATCACACCTCGTACTTGAGGCCCACATGAACTTCGGGAAACCGAATGTTTAAGTCTCATTGAATAACATCGTTGCACACTTTCTGGCTTACGTGAAGATCATTAACATCAGTTCATTGGTTATAAAAAACATGATCTGAGTTGAAATGTAGCAATATTTTAAAAAATTCCTGAAGTGTAAGGGGATAAATTCAAGTCTGCACATTCAATAAAGTATGTTAATGGTTTAGTTATTATAGAGAAGGGAAAAATATAAAACGCACCTGCTTTTTATAACATGAACATTATGATAATCTTGTTGATAATAAAACATGTAATAGGTTTTATTGAATGATATTTTATTGACCATTTATAGGTTATTTACGATCAACTTTAATCAATTTAATGCAAGTGTCGCTTTGAAGGCTTTATTTTTACATTTTACATACATTAAAGGAAGGTTATTAATTAGACTGTTGAAAAAAAGACCACATAGATCGTACATCCTGTAATGTAGATCTTTAACATTGAAATGTGACTTTACATAAATTTTAAATTTAAAAATACATCAATGTATATATGTCGATTTTTATGTTATTTTCATATGACATTTGTTTCAGATATCCTAACATATTGTCTTGTTTACGTAACGCAAGGAATATTTTACTTCGAAAGAAACATATTGTGCCGTTTCCTTAACGCAAGAAACACATCTTAAAACTTACGTTACGCAAGAGACACATTGTTTCGTTAATATTTCTAGGAAAAGACACATCTAAATCACAACAAAATACAACATTGTTTCCTTTTGGATTCCTTTTTATTTAATTCTGCTGTATTTTAACGTTAGTCTTAGTTTGTACCGTACTGTATAACATTCAGATGTAAAGTGCTCATATTATCTACTTTTTATTGGTTTACACCGAACACACAAGTGCATGTTAGTATTCTTGTTTTACTTAATCATCATCTGTGTGTCGAGTATGTTCTTCATGTGATTTTTTGTAAAAAGTCAAGTTCCCAGTTGGTTTTATTACGTCTTCCGTTCATTCATTAGTCAAGTTTCCAGTTGGTTTAGTTATATCTTTCGTTTGTTCATTAGTGAAGTTCCCAGTTGGTTCTATTATGTCTTCCATTTGTCCATAAGTAAAATTCTCAGTTGGTTTTATAATGTATCAGTAAAGTTCCCTGTTGGTTTTATCATGTGTTAGTAAAGTTCACAGTTGGTTTTATTGTCTTCCGTTCGTTCATTCGTGAACTATCCAGTTGGTGTTATTATGTCTTAAATTTTTTCATTAGTCATGTTCCCAGTTGGTTTTATTATGTCTTTCGTTCGTTCAGTAGTGAGGTTTCCAGTTGTTTTTTTACGTATGTCTTCCATTTGTCCATTAGTAAAGTTCTCAGTTGGTTTTATAATGTATTAGTGACGTTCCTATTTGGTTTTATTATGTATAAGTAAGGTTCTCAGTTGGTTTTATAATGTATTAGTGACGTTCCTATTTCGTTTTATATATGTATTAGTCAGGTTCTCAGTTGGTTTTATAATGTATTAGTGACGTTCCTATTTGGTTTTATTATGTATAAGTAAGGTTCTCAGTTGGTTTTATAATGTATTAGTGACGTTCCTATTTGGTTTTATATATGTATTAGTTAGGTTCTCAGTTGGTTTTATAATGTATTAGTGACGTTCCTATTTGGTTTTATATATGTATTAGTAAGGTTCTCAGTTGGTTTTATAATGTATTAGTGACGTTCCTATTTGGTTTTATAATGTATTAGTGACGTTCCTATTTGGTTTTATTATGTATAAGTAAAGTTCACAGTTGGTTTTATAATGTATTAGTGACGTTCCTATTTGGTTTTATATATGTATTAGTAAAGTTCACAGTTGGTTTTATAATGTATTAGTGACGTTCCTATTTGGTTTTATATATGTATTAGTAAGGTTCTCAGTTGGTTTTATAATGTATTAGTGACGTTCCTATTTGGTTTTATTATGTATTAGTAAAGTTCACAGTTGGGTTTATTGTCTTCCATTTGTCCATTAGTAAAGTTTCCAGTTGGTTTTATTATATCTTAAATTTGTTCATTAGTGACGTTCTTAGTTGGTTTTGTTGCCTCCCGTTCGTTCAGTAGTGAAGTTTCCACTTGATTTTATCATGTCTCTCGCCCCTCACCACTGTGGGTTCGAATCCCGATATGAACTTTGGATTCTTTCATGTGAGGAAGCTTTCCAGATAGCGTACAGAACGTCGGTAGGCTTACAAATGTACTCATTTGTGTCTTAAATAATGCACGGAAGGGCACCCAAGGTCTTCCTCCATCAGTAAAGATGAAACGTCGCCATATCACCTATACTGTGTCGATGTGACGTAAAACCCGAATAAACAAACGAACAAATTACTACATCTCCCATTTGACAATTAGTGAAGTTTCCAGTTGGTTTTATTATGTTTTCCATTCGTTCGTGTACAATTATATGCGTGTCTTTTGTGCGTTTGTACGTTTATGTTCTAAAGTAAGTGTATAGTTCTTTCCTTGAAATTTTAGGCGGCTTCATGCACGTTTTCTGAGCGTTTGTTTTACCTTTTCAAGTATTTCAAAGATTAACATATCTAAACAATTAATTTTACAATGGAAAAAAAACCACAAGACTGTAATTTAATGAAATGATGTCAACATCTAGTCTTTTTAGACGGATAGACTTGCTGCAGACAAATACTTTTTATATCATGAAGTTACTGTATAATGATCTCTCTACTCTAGATTAAATGTCCCACACTAAATCATGTATGTCACAGCTGTGGCACATCAAAACTGCAAAGGTTTTCAACTTAGAACAATAAAGTCATTACTATCAATATGATCAGCTTACATTTCACCTTTATGAGAGTTTTACGACCATCTAAGCTGTTGCAAACATTCACTCAATAAGAAAGCACTGCTTGTTTAAAATCAGCTGTTAATCAGCCTACAATGCAGACGATAAACCGCTTATATACTCAGATTATATGCTCATACCTGTGTATGTACGGTCTTACATGATATTTTATTTGGCCATCATACAGTCTGTTTTATTGACAATATTTACCGCTTACCCTGCTGGTGACTGCAGAATCTATCAATACGACCAGCGCAGGCCAATATCAGCCTGCTCACCCATGTCGTCTGCTAATAGTCTGCACTATTAGTTATCCATTCAGTTCAATGTTGTTGTTTTTTTCTCAAAAAAATGATCAATGGTCTTGTCCTGATTGAAAGAGTGTTTACCCGAACATTTACACAATTTCTTGAAGAAAAAATACGGAGTTTATACAATATTTATAGAATACATATCATCCATTGCTTCTTAATGAAATACATCACGTTGTCGTAATGAATGACCAGTGAATGATATAAACCTATATCCTACTAATAAATACATTGTTAAATACAAAAGAATAAAACATATATATGAAGCAAATGGAGTTCTAACAATAAGAAAAAAGAGAAGACAAGATTTTATAAGATATTTATTAGACATTTTGATTAAAAACATTGCATTACACTGTACGACATATGCAACGATTATATGTACATTTAACTTTTAATATGATAATAACAATATCAAATATAACCTAATCTTATTTGTTTACTAAATAAATAAACGAAAACAACAAAAATGGAATTCGTAATATTAAAACAATGTTTCTACGGAAACGAGTACATAGTTTTATAATGGTTGATACAAAATAGTAATTTGATGTGAAATGTTTGAATGGAAATAATGGATGCAAATCTTGATCGCATGCATGGTCGATAAATGACTTCCGTTCTTTAAAAGTTTCCCGTATTCAATATTTAAACAAATAAGCGTTTAAGTGATATAATATGCGAAATATTCACAAAACATGTAACAGAAATATTTAGTTTACTTTGTAAGGTTAGTGTGAGCAAAATGAATATACACTCTCATGTTTAATGATATTTAAAAATGAAGAAAACAAAATATATGTTAATTAAAACAGCGATAGTAAAAATGTTCACTGGTGATCACAGCGTAAACAAATTACTGTCGAAAATAAAAAATACTTTCGTTTATTTATATTTGTCATGCAATGGAACGTCTGTGTTTACGATAATATTTAAAAAAGTAAAGGACTCAAAATGAATCTGCGTGTTTGCAAGATGACCTAGATAAAAAGTTTATGAAAATCATTTTATCATCATTATTTGTATGGAATTATTTCTTTTCATACATTATGTAAACTTATTTAAAGATTATAATTATTTCTTACAAATCAAAATATGTATAAAATGGCTTTGCATAAATGTATAAAACCATATAAATCAGATTGTAGCAAGTCAAATAAATGAGTTATTCTTTATTTGCTGTTTATATTAGTATTTGTTTTGAATGTTCTGTTGATTGTGAGAGAAGATATTTAAGTGATAATTATGAAATGCATGCACGATTTGTTCCCCTTGAAAACTGCTATACGGCCGTTCAACGGACAGAAAATAAAACATAAAACCTTAACAGGAAAAATACGGAAGAATGATTTTTGTTTGTTTGTGAATTTTGCATACGTGAATCTTTTTAACAGATTGTTTTTCTTTTAAATAAAAATATAATGATATGTTTGGAAGAGACCTGCAATGTGTTGTTTAGACTGTATGTTATGAATAATGTATTTAAAAATGTATGATAATTCTTGGTTACAATAACACATACTTTTTAACCAGAAACTGAAAATAATGGGGAAATAATGTATTTTAAATAATAATGATGATGATTTTAAAGACATAAATATTTAGCGTTCTAACTATGCATATATTTGAAATTATTTGAAAAATCTGATTTGGTAGTATAATATTCATTCGACACAACATCTTTTTATAAATATTATTATTTTCCTATTTAATCAACAAATGATTGAGACAGGCCTGTCCAAGACCCATATATATGTCCTCCGTATTTGCATATTTAAAGCATCAAAAGTATTTTGTTTTAGGCATCATGCTAGAAAAGAATGTATCAAATTGATACTTAATTTTACCGTTTTTGTTCCTTCTTTCCTATTATTTTTGTTATATATTCTAGCATAGACAAATTCCATTTTATGCATAAATATGGCGGATAAAAATATTTATTACAGTGAATAGCAAGTTGTCTAAAGTAGAAAATATTAAATATTTTGTTTAGCATTTATTCATTCTTGTAGAAATAGACAAGTCTGAAACATTCAGAAAAATCAGACAAATATATGTCGGATATGACGTCATTGTAATTTTAAGGACGCTTTAAAGGTTTGTACGCGTATTGATGAGAAAAAATCAAACTGTCATTATATTATTACTTTGTAAATTCAATTAACCTGCATCAAACCTGGATCACTATTTTATGTCGAATTCCTACTGGAAAGCAATTTTTAAAGAAGGAAATAAACACGGTTGCAGAAGCTTGATTAAATGATTATTTGTGATACACTTGGGGAAATTGTTAATTGTAAAGCATTTTTCCAGCACACGGCGGTTCATATGGAAGCATTATCATATCAAATAAGTTTATCATTTACTTTAACGGTCCGCCATTCTCAGAAAAGGTAGTTATTCTCTGCCCTATACATGAATGACAAGCGGAAGAATTCCTGTCTCTCGCATACAAGCATTTTTGTCCTGAAAGGGGAGGAAATTATCTTTAAAGTGTTAACGATGCCGATTTGGTCTTGTAAAGAGAGGGTAAATGTTCTCTATCCCTAGAATGGTGTATTAAGACGAAAGGGACGTAACTCTTCATCCAGACGTGGGTTCAAAACCGGAAGTTACCACCATTACTTACCTTGTGCAAATTATATCCGTACATTAAAATACGAAAAGTGCATTTCAACAAAAGTGATCACTTCTTAATAATAACACGTTAAGCCAAAATCCAAAATTTCGAATATGCATTACAATACCGGGTGAAATATCACTCTCCCACCAGATACGGTCAAATGAACGTTTAAGACATAATATATCCGTATACATTTTAAGCCATGGTTAAAGCGCAGAACAGAACTTTAGACTATAATATAGTCGTTAATACAATATCAGTAATAAAATTTTAATGGCAGTCACATTCTTAGAAAAAGGGAACCCAAAAAGGAAATTTTCTGTTATACAGAGCTTGGCGAACGGAAGTTTACCCTGATGTTCAGGTAGGATCATAATCGGAAGTATCACGTAAAAGGTAAAAATGTAAGAAACAGCATTATTTTAAAGCAGTGCATTACTTAAAGATTGATATATTAATTTGCAGTTACTTAGCATACTTAGTTAATTACCAACTTAACAAATGATTCAAACATGTAATTTATGACGTTGAAATTTTGCTATTAGTTATGGGTGATTTTAAAACAGACGTTATGACCAAGGGTAAACACAGTGACATCACAAAACTATTATATACATGTATTGAAAGAGGCGAGTGAGATTCATCGTAGTGTGCATTTTGACAAAAATTGTAAAAAGTAAAAACAAACAATTCAATAAATAAAACAAATACTACATTTATATTACTAATAGGTCATGTCACAACATCGGTGTCTGTGTTTTATAACTTCCCAATCGTGATCTTTTGTTATAATTGATAAAATAATATAAATAATGCGAGTACTGTACATGTCAAAGGGACATATAGGAAGATTTTTTGTGCAGTTATATCCTAACTACGGTAATTAACTAAATCGTTATCAATAATTTTTTTATTACTAATGATATTATTATTTGGGTAAAGATGCAATTAAAATTCAATTTAGTAGATATTTATGTTTGTTATCAGTAATGCGCACACAGGTTAACCCCTACTAATAGATTTTCTTTCATATTATCACATATAAAGAAGCCAAAAGGTATAAAATTGGTCATTAAAGATTAAATAAATGAGGATATAAAACATCGTAAAATCTTCCTATAAATGCCTTTAATTGACAGGTCACTTTCAGTGTATTATTCTATCCCTACATTGTATCAGGTACAACCATGTAAAAGTATCTAATACTCTTACCAAAATGTAATACAAATTCTGCAAATATTCCTATAAATTTCTTTTTGATGCAAGGAAACATATGTGTTTACATATAATACTTAATCTAGTTTTCCTTCATTTTCATTTCGATAAATAAAACACATATTACATTTTACAGGTTTGCTTATAACATACGATTTCATAATATAACTAGTTTAATTTCATTTTTGTTTCATACAACAAATTGTAGTGATTGTACTTTTAAATATCTAATTGTTTACGAAACAAAACAAAAAATAAGTTTTAGCTTGATATCTGAAAATATATAGTTTTGAAATTTAAATTCAATACACTAACATTTGCATATTAATAAATGCATGACTACAAATCACCGATTGATAGCTAACATGAGTTTGTACTTCACCTCTATATTAAAGTAATTAGTATCTTAAGTTTAAGTGTAATCAATCACAAATCAGTGTTTTTTTAATACAAGTTGTTTCTTTAGCTAAAACTGAAATATGTGAGTCAAAAATAATATTTATACAATCTTTACCGAAAAGTTACTTTGGAACAAGCGGTGCATTATCGTACATCATAAAAATATATCAATTTAAGATATCAATTTAAAAACAATCATTTTAAATTACTTAATTAAGTATAGATTGATTAAAACACTATCAATTAGAATGGTTTGCACTTATTTACACAGTAAATCACACATGATAACACACACTTGTATGGTACACCAGTCCGTCTTTGTGTACAACAGATCTGGATTGAAAGACATTCTCGGAAAAGGACATTAAATGTTCCTTCTCACCCCCTATATTGCTCAACCATTCTGATAACATTCTCCGTTTCTTACTTTGTCTCGCGCCGTTCACGCGCTATTTTTTGCAGACGAATATACTCCATCTAGTACAACATATTAATTCGGAAAATATAACAGTTATTATTGCTTAGATAACAGAGGTTGGAAGGCATATTAGTGTAGTCAAATACACTAAATATATTTCATCTTGTGTTTCGTCTGTACTTTCTAGCATATTTTCCGAAAAGAATCTTTTGGAAGGCGATACGAAACTCCGGATTAAACACCGTGTAAATTATGGGGTTGAGTAAACTGTTGCAATATCCAAGCCAGAGAGTTATGCTTTCTACTAGCAAAGGGATGTGTACTTGCGAGCGAATGAATGGCGCCATTATGGCTAGAATAAAAAATGGCAGCCAACAAATTATGAATGCACCAGTGATTATAGCTAAAGTTCGTGCCGCCTTTCTTTCACGTTTCATTTCTAGTTTTTCTTTCTGTTTTTTGGCCTTCAATATTTCATGGCTTGTTTTTGGCAACATTGCCGTCTGCGCCGAGTCAAGATGGCCGTTGGTCTTGCACTTATTTTCATTGTCATCGTGTTCACCGCTACCGCTACTTCCGTTTAACGGCATTTCGGATATTTCCGAGCGTGACACCGGGGAATCCTTCCGCGGAACTGTTAACAGAGTCATTTCCGTCGTGTTATTACATGTCGGACTAGACTCTCTATTCTTCTGTTTTTGCTGAAATTGCTTTTTCTGAGCAAACCGCTTTTTACGAATCCTTTGTCTAGCAACGACGAAGATTTTAGCATAAATGATTAACATGAGAACTGTCGGTAAATAAAACGCTCCGACTGTTGAAAATATCGTGTAAACATGATTTTGACTAATCATACAGATGCCTGTAATTGTTGGGTCGTTATCGTCTTTAAACAAAAAGATGGAAGGGATTGAAATTGACATGGCAACAAACCAAACAATCGCAATCATGATTAGAATCCTTTTAGCCGTTCTATTCCGGATATAGTCTATATTAGTAACGGCCCAATATCTGTCGATGGAGATGGCGACTAGGTGGAGTATTGAGGCGGTACAACATAAAACGTCCATCGACACCCACATGTCGCAAATCTCAGCACGCATGAACCACTGCTGACTGACCTGAATAAAATATATATAATGTATCAATATTACATTTTTTTAAATATTAATAAATTACATATTTTAGCATCAATATGTTCGTAGTCCTCTCAGTAAAAAATGTATCAGACATATAATTAATTCAATTATTAATTTATTTGAATTTATTATAGTGATGTGATAAAATATGTCATTTAAAGAATTTTTTATCGTTTTTTTACTTATACAAGAAGCTACACAGGTTGCATTAACAGCACGGACCATAATATATCATGTAGAAAGTAACATAACAAAAGTAATAATGCATAATTTTAAAATGAAGTGTTATCCAAGATCAGTTCTGAAACGTGTACATTGTATTTTAGATATAATCACTACTTTCGATGTCTGATGTCAAAATTGCTAATTTGCAGCAATTATTCAATTTTACATTAATTGTTAATATAATCAAAGGAACCGTTCTCGGATACTACGTGGTACATATCTGAATTCATTGATTAATACACATACAGTTGCTTTAGCATACCTAAATTATATGATGAAGACAAAAGATTCTATACATAATTATATTACAATAATAATAAACAACAGCAAATGCCTTCCTTGACGTAGACCAAAAGTAACCTTTTTTAACGAAGGTGTGCCGTTTTGCTCTTAAAAGATGTATACATTCTCTCTTTTTAAGTTGGAAACAAAGTCTTGTTATCTTTCAAAATTTATTCCAGAGTTTCTTAAATTGAAAATACCAGCTTTTGTCCCAGGAGTCATCCTTAAACTTTAATGATAAAAAACTATAATCATAATTTCTCGAAAAAAGCACTTGTTTTGTTACTTTATTTCAGGAAAACAACAACAAAAATTGTACGAACCTCATTAACGGCGCTGATTGGCATAACAATGGAAGCCACCATGCAATCTGCGACAGCAAGTGAAAGTATCAAATAATTTGCTACACTATGCAGATTCTTCTCTAAGATTATAGCTGCTATAACAAACACATTGCCGATAATTGTACACAAAATCATTAGACCCAAAATCACAGACGTCACTATCAGATGTTCTATACTCCATATTTGTGGTCCGCCTACAACAATTGTGACGTTTGTCGTGACGTTACTAGCGTTGCTAGCTTCCGTTAACATTGTTACTGACTCCATGTTGAATATTCCGATAGAAAGATCTAGTTTAACAAGAACTGGCGCTGATTTATAGCACTCAGATCTAGGCGTAAATGCAATAGTTTCAAACTGAATGTATTGGAATGTCTAAAGGAACACATTGCAAATGTCCTTATAAATTTGATATATTCAGTTCATGTGAATCGCGAGACATTCGATTTCCAAATATAGCTTCCATGCTATGACGTCATTATGAGATGCCATCGTTTTTCTTGCTGTGACTAGAAGTTCCTTATCTGCGATCCAAACATTGAAAATCTGAAATTAAAAACAAATGTATAACAGTCATTTAATATGTAATGAAACGTTATTTTCATACAGATTTTATGGAAATATTTCATATAAACATTTTGAAAAAGTGGAAAACCATCCAGATCAAAGAAACAAAAATATTAACTTGAAAACTACAGCCTCGGTTTGATAGAGTCTGTTCATGTGAAATAATGAAAAGTGCAAATATTTCTCATGCCCCTAGCACCGCCTAAAACAATATTGAATTTTCAACCAAACATTGTCAGAATATTCTATACAGCACCCAGTAGAGATAGCATAGCATGCCCCGGCGGTAGTGACTTTATTTCATGCACCTATATCTCAGTAATTTTAGGACAAAAGTGATCTTGTCACATGCGGATGTCTCTTAATTTTTGCTTATGTTCTGCTTAAGCTGGTGCTGGGATGGGAGGGTACTTGGGACAGGCGGTAGCTTACATTTACCAATACCTTCTATAAACAGGCTCAACCTAACCATGCATCCACAAGCAGCTGACACATCTTTCAAACAGTTCAATCATGGATAATCAGCATGGTTTTCTTTATTAGACAACGTTATCTTACTCGATGCATTAAACGTCACTTTAACAACAATTATAAATAATGTATAAAAGGTAAGTCATTATTTTACCATTCAGTGATTAATTCAGTAGCTTTAACTCAACCTTTTTTGCAGGAAAACATAAATTCCAGTTTGAAAACTGTAATGATTTTTTCAAACATATCTATCTAAAAGAACAACTGTATGTCACTCAAAAGCGACAAAAAGAAGAAAGTATTGTTCTTCTCCATTTCGTCAAAATGCTTGAGGGAGATTTATTCCATTATTTTGGTAATATTTTCTAAATATTATGAGGATATGTATCGGGAATCATACACCATTAAGAATATTTTTAAAACATTGTGTCATTAGACTAATAATGCAATGAAAAAGTTGTTTTGGTCCCTTAAAATATTTTTAAAATCTACAATATTTATTTGAACTTCAATATTAATATCTTTTGAAAAATTTTAACGTCGTACATTGCATTGTATATAATTATCTTTGATCAGGATTTATTAATCAAATTGACATTAATGACCTTTTCCCATAAATTATGATTTAATTTAAGAAAAATAGTAACCGTTATCCGATATTTCGTAAAAGTTCAACACTTTTTGTTAAACGATATAGACAAAAGGTACAAATACAAAAACAAGAAGGAAAAAAAATAGAAGAAAAAATATAATTCGATTAGAGTGTCCTATAATAAGTAACAATAATAATAACAGAAATTTTACACAATATCAAAATATAAAAGGACATCAGGAAAATATAATTAAAAGGAATGCATGTATAATATGCAAAGGTTTTGTAAATTCAGCAAAATTTATGCTGCTCACTGACAGGGGTAACTTTGGGTAATCATTGACCATGCTTAGAATATTTTAAATTTGAGGGATATCAATCAAAATACAAAAACAAATCGGTCAATTATAAAGAACCTGGTGGCTATCGGTTTCAACAGATAAAGGGTTATTCAACTACAGAATTTACATGTAACCTCATTAATCCGACCACGATCATTTAACATATGTTTTTTTTCTTTTGTATCATAGCAATTAAATTTTTTATTACATATGACGAAGAAAGAAATATAATCTTAATCTCAAATCAAGCGTGAATTTATGTGAATAAACCCACAATATTATTACACCCTAAGCTGTTACGAGGGTCAATGATTCAAGTCATCATCCCTTATCAAATCACTTTTTGTATATCTCACCACAGTAAGAAAATAACAAAGAAAGGAAGTGGATCCCTCAAAAACACACAACGTGGCAAGCATTTAAAATTTGCTAAGAATGTTTGTTCATGGCCGGGCTGAATTTATTTGGCATATTCTCAAACAAAGACGCTTACAGCACACCACAGTAACTTTAAAGTAATGTTATGTAATGTTGACAGCCTTGTTTTTAATCATCGGACAATTTTTATGCTTTTATTACGTCATAATATGTACGTGGCAGAAATGAAATAGGAAACTTCGACATGTGTTACGTCATCTGTTACTAACAGTACATGTATATCTAAGTTGTCTGAGTTATATACATACTAGTATATAAACACATTGGCATAGTAAAACATCAAGCGACATCACCAGGGTAAGTCAAGGATACAAGCATGAAAACGAATGTCAAATTTTGCAGTTGGGTATTTCTTTCGCTACAAAAGCAACTATTGTCTGAATCAATTATTAAGAGGTAATTCAGTACCACCCATTTCTAAAATGCCCTTCACACACAAAATATCTAAACTAATGATACAGTAACAACCAAAAGTAACGTGCCGTCTGAGCATGGTTTGCACATTTCGCTATAGTCGGTACATATTTAGAAACGTATCTATAATTTAAATAATTTTGTCTAGATTGAAATATTGACAAGTCTGTTTAAGATATTTAGCTCGGTTAGGCTTAATAATGTAGATGATAAACATGCATTCTAATTATATCATTTCACAGTACAAGGTCGACGTGTATTTCCTAATGGAATTCGTCCTCCGTCGAAATTCATCTCGAAACGTTCGTTCATATTATGCATTTACATAAGGACCTTTCGACTTCGTGAAAATCGTGCAGAAATGAATCTCCCCAGAGATGTTCTATATCAGGAAATGCCATGTCTTGTATCAAATTAGTGAATGAATTTATAACTAGTAATTTAAAACGATTGTTTTCCAAATTTGATGTCGGATACAGCTGTAAGTATTAAAAAATGTAGAACCTATTTTAGACATATATGTTAGACACAATAAAATAATGTTGTACTTTATTTTTGAATTACATGTACTGAAATGGGATATAAAATTGCTTTTCTTTATGTATAAACATGACCCGACTGTTTAGTCTCACTTTTAATAAGAGATATTAGAACTCGAAAATGTAAGTGAATAAGTGTATTTCTTTAAATACGAGTATCAGGTGTTGATTAATTCCAAAATAAATGTAATATAGTTTAAGTATATAGTGAAATAATGAACAAACGTATATTATATAGTAAAAGTATATGGTGAAATAATGAACAAACGTATGTAATATAGTATAAGCATATAGTGAAATAACGAACAAACGTATATTATATAGTAAATGTATATAGTGAAATAATGAACAAACGTATGTAATATAGTATAAGCATATAGTGAAATAACGAACAAACGTATATTATATAGTAAAAATATATAGTGAAATAATGAACAAACGTATGTAATATACTAGTAGTATAAGTGTATAGTGAAATAATGCACAAACGTATGTAGTGAAATAATGAACAAACGTTGGACAAATTAAAAAGTACATGTATGTCATATGGATCACCAATGAACTAAAGGTTACACCATACATTATAAAAACGGTACTTGAAGATATGTGAATAACGCTACAGACTCAAACAAAATAGTGACGTCATGTGACATTTTATCATAAACGCAGCTTTAATCATTCCGTTGATGATATCATTTCCTGTTATGTTACAAGTGCTATCAATGCTTTTATAATTCCCCAAGAGTATCAGTGCACGTATGGTATACCTTTGTAAGGTTGAATCATAACAATAAACAAAGCGGATAGTGTATCGTCTGCTGATAACGTCTGCTTGACAAGCACGAAAGGCGACCAGTCCATTGGGCTTATCATGAACCCTCTATCTATTTAGGGCTGTCTGATATGTAATGTAACATTATATTGAAGTGCAATATTTTTCTTTTTTTTTAACATTAATCATACGTTCTGTTGTGCAGAACATCATACTTGGTTGCAATAAAGTTTTTCCCTTCTTTTATCTAGCATCTGATGTGAACAAAACAGGAATCATGAATAAAACATTACAGGAAAAAAGGAATCGTCAGGAAATAAACACTTGTAAGTATCTTCTGTTATTTTAGTTTGACAATAAAATGTTTCATCTAAATGAAATGATTCATAAATGATTCAAAAATGCTCTGCCATGTGTCATTGAAAACTAACGTATAAAATACTCTTGCAATTTATCCTTACCACACGCATGTTTACATACTTACAAAAAAGTACATGTCTAATTTAACTCCCTACAACCGTAAACAATTAAACTTAAACTAATAAAATATACGAAACGCAAAACCAGTCACAAGTTCGTGTAAACATATACCGGATACACTTTATATACGTGTATTTAAAAAACATTTTAAACTATTAGTAAGCTACAAAATTAATGTTGTTGTTTGTTTACAATTAATTCATTATTAATAACAACAGTAAATAAATACTTATCAACCTTAATAGAACAAAATTATTGAAACAGAATAAAAAAATCTTTAAAAAATCTAAACAGTAAATATAATAGAATTAAATAAATAAAAAAAATAAATACATGAATAAATGCATTAATAAATAAAAAATAAATAAATAAAATCACACCGACCTATAAACACACACACACTACATTTTTATTTAAATACCTTATTTATGTGATATCCAACTCAAACAACACAAACGTGTATTACATTTATATGAGACAAACACATTTATATCGCTCATTCAATTAAGAAGTACACTTTTCCAATAACTTAACTTGAAAACCAATTTGAGAATATGTCCACTCAGCATTTACATTTCATTCTAATTTACGAACTATTTGTTGATTATCAGTGAGATATTTTAAATATCAATTAGTGTTTATGTATCTTTTTTTTGTTGTTTGTTCGATTGTTTTTTTATTGAGTTTTCACAATATAGTAGTAAATACATTTAAATGTAAATTCTCGATGCTATACCTATATATATTTCACAAATACTACGCATATAACGCTCGGGGAGATATTATCCATATTTTCATATCAAGTCTCGCAAAGATAATCATTCTTCCCTTTTCAAATGGTTGTACAGAATTTGCATAAAACAATGACTGTAATATAGGATATACTTTTGAAATATATTGTTTATCAGTTTGGTCAATGACTTCAAAGATCA